ATTTTACAACAATTCCAGATATACTTAAACAACATTATTTTGAATTTAATAGTTTAGATAAAGGAAAAGTTAAAATTAGTATATCTACTAATGGAAAAAAAACAACAATACAAATTGAAAAAATTAAACAAAAAGATAAATTTAATCAATTAGTTGAAAAAAAATTACCTGGTCTTAGTTCAGAATGGCAATGGTATTTATATGAACAAATTAGAAATCATATACAAAATTTTAACAAAAAAGATGATTTATGTCTAATGCCTACTGTTGCTAAACCAGTAAAATCCAAATAAAACTAGATATTGATTTGTTATAAATAAAATTTTATAAATATTTTTAATATAAATTATTTAATATTTTTTTTATTTTATTTTTTTAAATTAATATTATATAGACTAATTAATAAAAAATAAATATATACAATATATTGTTATTAATAATTAAACCTACCTTAAAAAAAAAACTTTATTAATAGCAGTTTTGAACCAAATCCACTTAAAAAAAAACTTAAATTATCTTCACAAATCTGTCATACAACTCTACCCCACACATAACCATCATAACCAACCTATTATCTTATTACATTTGTAGAGATCATTCATGACACATTCATTCTAATAGCAGAAGTACTAGCATTTTTAATTAGTGTCAAAAAAAAAAACTTCACTTTTGATAGTTTTGAACCCAACCGACTGAAGCTTAAGAAGACTTTGCCAGCAGCTTTTGAGCTCAATCCATTAAAAAGAAAAACTTTATTAATGATAGTTTTGAACCAAATCTACTTAAAAAAAAAAAAATTTAAATTATCTTCACAAATCTGTCATGCGCCCCTACCCCGCGCATAACCGTTATAACCAACCTATTACCTTGTTACGTCTATAGAGATCATTCACAACACATTCATTCCAGTACTAGCATTTTTAATTAGTATCAAAAAAAAAGAATTGACTTTTGGTAGTTTTGAACTCAACCAACTGAAGCTTAAGAAGACTTTGCTAGCAGCTTTTGAGCTCAATCCTAAAAAGAAAAATTTCATTAGTAATAGTTTTGAACCAACTCCCTTAAAAAAAATTATTATTACAAATCTGTCATGCGCCTCTACCCCGCACATAACTATTATAACCAACCTATTACCTTGTTACGCCCATATAGATCAGTCATGACACATCAACTCCAACAGCAAAATACTAGCATTTTTAATTAACCAAAAAAAAAAAAGATTTCAATTTGGTAGTTTTGAATCTAACCCACTGAAATTACAAGGACTTTGCCAGCAGCTTTTGAACTCAATCCATTAAAATTAAAAAGAAAAACTTCATTAGCGATAGTTTTAAACCAAATCCACTTAAAAA